AGCTCTAACTGGTCTCGTTAACGCTCTCAAAGTCGGTGGCTTCAGGAATTGTTTTTGGTTTCTTTGTTTAGTTTTCGACCTATTTTTCTTTTCCTTTTCAGTTATTGATGTTTTGGCTTTGCAGAATAAGTTTCAAAATCTTACTGGGATTACGTTGAGACTGAATTATCAAGGAGAGGTTTTGAGAGCTGCGTTTTGATGGTAGTTGAATCGAGTTTGTTGTGGTGAAAAAGAAGAAAAACAAGAGGGAGAAAGAAGAAAAAGAAGGAAAAACAAGAGTGTATGACAGATTTAGTTTGGACTTTATTGTGTTGGAGGAATCGATGGGATTATGGACTTGTGATTCGGAGTCAGGGGAGATGGGGCAAATATGGTTGATTTCTTAGATTTCTTCTGTTTCTTCATTCAAGCACTTCATTTGTTTGTTCATTGGTTTTTGTTTTTTGTGTTTCACTATCTCTATCTTCGTGATCTTCCTTAGGATTCAATTTCGATTATTTTTTTACAAATGCAGCAAAATCACCAGAAGAAGGTGATAATTCATTTATTTGTTCACCTTTTTTTGTGTTGGGAGTTTATTTGTCTTGTTATTAAAAAAATTGTGATTATTGACAAATTGTTGTGCACAATTTGAGTTGTTATGTTGGGTAGTTATGTGAGATATGAAAATATGGGGTTGCTGTGCTTTGGAGTGTTTTGTGCTATGTTGGATGTGGGAGATATTCTTTTCACCGAAAGCAATGCTTTTATCTTGAGATATTATCCTCTTTCGTTGAATAAAGTTAGTGAAATGAGTTTCGAATACAATGAGGGAGAGATAAAACAGTATGAATTTAATGCATATTTTGATCTGGAATAAGTGAGTTTCATTCATTTTATGTAATGCTATATATTGAAATAATGGCTTTATACTCCTCTTTGATCCAATTTAAGTCCATTTTTCTTTAGTTTTATAAAATATATTATATATTTTTAGTTTCCCTGCATCTTTCTTATTCTACCAGGCTTTGATTAACTGGATGCTGCCGCTATATATGTAGAAAGTAGAGAATTGGATTCCATTATTGTTAATTTAGTATAATAAGATTGTCTTCTTTTGCAACCTTTTGCTATACTGCTAGTCTAAAACTTGATTATATACATAAAGAATTGTGTTTAAAATTTTAATTTGTCTTTTCTTTCTTTCTTTAATATTGGTTTCCTCTGTTAAAAGCAATTGTTTAATGCGTAGGTGATGAGTTTAATGTGTGTATGACTATATTGTGATTGAAAAGAAGGAAATTGTAGGTTACATAGTATTTCATTTTATTTCAGGTAGATATAATCACATACTAATGAATTAAAGGTAGATTACTTACTAATGACATTGTTGTATTATTTACTTTTCTTGTTTTTGTTCTTTCTATCCAATATTTGTATGTTGATCTTTGTTTTCAGTTATTGATCTTTGTTTTCTTTTATGGTAGGGATTACAACGGTTTTGTACTAAGCATAAAATTAAGTTATTGAAGGTACATGTCCGCTCTTTGTGAGTACTAAATATGGGTGCGGATATGTGTGCAAGTATACACAATCGAACAAGTAATAAAGTGATAGGTAGAGTATCGTCTCCACAGGGAATTGGGGAAATCAAATAGGTTTGTCAAGGCACTTTACTTTGTCACCTAAGTAAAGTTAGTGATGGTATACACAAATAATAATGATGTGGCAAAATGGAATGACTGGTGTGAAAATGGAATGATGGTAATGTGGTAGCAAATGGATATGTCGTGGTAAATTAAAATGTAATACATGCAAACGAATTTAAATGCCAAGGCAAAATAAAATGAAAATACTAGATTTAATATATAGGACTTTAGCTTTCTCACACGACAAGCAGCTGTGGGAATGAGTGATGGGAGTCACTAGAAAACCTAAGTCTATTTATCTAAATGGTATTTCCTCTATACTTACCCTGCCCGACAGAGTCTACTAAAGTGCCCTATGCTATCTCTAGTAAGGGACTCAACAGATTAAAGATGCTCTGGCAAGTCCGATTGGCATAAACCCCTGCAGTGATCCTATTCGTTCAAATAACAGGATATGTCTCGGCAATACCTTTTTACGGCAGCATTAAAATTTAACCTATCGATTATGCTCTACTCCTTTTAGTCGAATGAAATCCTATCCTTATCTCTAAGGTGGATTAGGCCTAGTTACTACCTAGAACCCAATGTTTAAGTAGTTCCTCCCTAGCTTCTCTCGAAGACTAAAGATATTTTTCCAAGGTATTCTCTCGAACCCAATAAACCTCCTAAGGAAAGGCTACTCTCGTAGCTCCTACAATCTTAAGGCTTTACGCCTCATAAACAAAACAGAATAACGCATAGCAAAGCAATCATTCAATAAAATAAAAACTTAAACATTCAAATGAACTCCCACCAAATAGGATTAGTTCATGGTAGGGTTCGAAATAAACAAGTTCAAGACAAGTTCCATTCGTTCCTTACAACCCAATAACAAAATATGAAAGCAAATAACTAAGGATAAGAGAGAAAGCCTTCGACGTGCACTACCCAATGCTCCTCTCGGCCACCAAGAACTGCTCCCAGCGGACTGGCTCCTCTCGGACGCTCAGAACGCCACTCTCTTCTACTAGTCAATGAGAAATACCACGGCAAGATGGATTGACTGAAAGAGTTGAGACCTTCTCACTCTAACTTTTTAAGCTCAAATCAGTGTGAAACTAAAGTCCTCTTCATTTTGGCTTCATCCTCTATATATAAGGAGAGAAAAACCCTAGGAATTGGTGTTGAAATTCCTAGGATACCCCAACTTTGCTTGATTCTCGGGAGGATTGGGCAGTGGTCCAGCATGGGCATCTAAAAATGGCCCATACTGGGTGGTTGGCTGAGCACCTGACATCTGCAGCAGGGCAGCATGATCCAGCATAGGCGGCATGGTGCAGCATGGTATTTGCAGTACTAATCCAGGTGGATTTCTCGCTCTTGGTGCAAATAGGAGACAGTTGGCTTCAAAAATATATTCTCGTACTTTGCTCGCTTTCGAAATGTCAATCCAACTCGGCATTTTCATTCTGCTCAGCGGTCTTCTAATGTCATGACATTTCCTTTTCTCTTTTCCTTGCTCACAATTTCTGCACATCATTAGACAAATACCTTCCCCATAAAGCAGCACTGATGACAAAATGAAATACCGCGGTAAAACAAATTCCACCAAATGCAACTAAATGCTTCTAAATGCATCTACATAGTCCTAAATGAGCTCTTAGGCATTCAATAACTTAAGTGAAAAGGTCCCAAACTACGACCTTTTTATGGAGTTATCACACCCTCAAACTTAAGCTATTGCTTGTCCTCAAGCAATGGATAGTATTAAGCAAAATAAAAATACCATGGCAAGTTCAGAAGCATAATAGTTATATAGGATAAAAGTTCAGCCCTCAGCGCAATTGGCTTCAACATGCTAGACTAGTTCGAGAAATCAAGCACTGTCCCCTAGGGTAAGATTCTTTGTGTGGGTGTGTGCGTGTTTGTATCCAGTCCATGCTTAACAAACTTAAAAATTTTCTAAGCAAACTTTCTTAATTTGCCATGACATTTAGAAATTTTTAATCCCACTTTGTTTTCTTTTCTTTCATTAATTATGCTACGAGGGGAGTCAGCCTATCACACCTACCACCCCACACTCTAGGTGAAAGGGAGCATACCTTCCACCCCCAAGCTAGTCAGGTAGAGTCATCCCGTGACTACTTTCATTCACTCATATGCCATAGCTGCTATATATTTATATGCAGTTTCCAGGCAATGCCATGGCATAGCGGAGTGTCCCTCTACAGATATGTCGAACCATTTATTCACAACTTCATTCATTTTATTTATTTATTTATTTACTTTTTTGGTTTTCATCATTCAAAGTTTTATGCCACGACATTTAAGAATTCTCTTATAAAAAATTTCTAAGTTTCTCAAGCATGGAAAGCATATAATTGTGTATTTGAAGGTTTCAAATAAGCAAGTCCTAGAGTTGGTTCTATCATCCTCAACCAGTCATGTACAATCTATCCTAACCATCAAGAATTCTTCATCATTGAGTATCCTTAACTAATTCCAGCAAACTATTTAGACACTTACTAATGTCATGGAAAATTTATTTTACTAACACTATCATGCAATGATTGGAGATCCCTACTTCCCCAAACATGAGAGAAACATTATCCTCAATGCTTGCTAAAAACTAAGGTAAAACTAGACTACATGCTATGAAATACAATGCAATGCAAGGTACCTTGACTTCATGCTTGTGGTGGCGCGACGATTGTACGACGGGTGTGCTTCCAAAATTATGTGGGGCTGGAGTGTTTAGAATCTGATGCTGGTACGGTTGAAGGTTGTATGGACCCTAAATTTACAAAGAAAAACAAAATAGTCAATTAAAAAGAAGCGAAATAAACATTTATTTATGCACAGGAGTAATTTTAAAATGTCAAGGCATCCTTAAGATGTTGGGCCAGTATCAACTTTATGCAAGAGAAGTGCAGTCTTGTCATGCAATGGTGGGACTCCTTGGTATGCCTTCAGGCGCTGGCCATTGACTTTAAAGACGGACCCATCGTCCATGTTCTTGATATCCACAGCGCCATACGGGTAAACATATGGACTTCGAATAGTCCTCACCATCGTAATGTGGGTACTAAATATGGGTGCGGATATGTGTGCAAGTATACATAATCGAACAAGTAATAAAGTGATAAGTAGAGTATCGTCTCCACAGGGAATTGGGGAAATCAAATAGGTTTGTCAAGGCACTTTACTTTGTCACCTAAGTAAAGTTAGTGATGGTATACACAAACGATAATGCTGTGGTAAAATGGAATGACTGGTATGAAAATGGAATGATGGTAATATGGTAGCAAATGGATATGTCGTGGTAAATTAAAATGTAATGCATGCAAACAAATGTAAATGCCAAGGCAAAATAAAATTGCAAATACTAGATTTAATATATAGGACTTTAGCTTTCTCACACGAAAATCAGCTATGGGAATGAGCGATGGGAGTCACTAGAAAACCTAAGTATATTTCTCTTAATGGTATTTCCTCTATGCTTACCCTGCTTGACAGAGTCTAGTGAAGTTCCCTATGCTATCTCTAGTAAGGGACTCAACAGATTAAAGATGCCCTGACAAGTCCGATTGGCGTAAAGCCCTGCAGTGATCCTATTGGTTCAGATAATAGGATATGTCTCGACAATACCTTTTTGCGGCAGCATTAACATCTAACCTATCAGTTATGCTCTACTCCTTTTAGTCGAATGAAATCCTATCCTTATCTCTAAGGTGGATTAGGCCTAGTTACTACCTAGAACCCGTTGTATATGTAGTTCCTCCCTGCTTCTCTCGAAGACTAAAGATATTTTTCCAAGGTATTCTCTCGAACCCAATAAACCTCCTAAAGAAAGGCTACTCTCGTAGCTCCTACAACCTAAGGCTTTACGTCTCATAAATAAAATAGAATAACGCATAGTAAAGCAACCATTCATTAAAATAAAAACTTAAACATTCAAATGAACTCCCACCAAATAGGATTAGTTCATGGTGGGGTTCGAAATAAACAAGTTCAAGACAAGTTACATTCGTTCCTTACAACCCAATAACAAAATATGAAAGCAAATAACTAAGGAGAAGAGAGAAAGCCTTTAACGTGCACTGTCCAATGCTCCTCTCGACCACCAAGAACTGTTCCTAGCAAACTGGCTCCTCTCGGACGCTCAGAATGCCACTCCCTTATGCTAGTCAAGGAGAAATGCCACGGCAAGACGGAATGACTAAGAGAGTTGAAACCTTCTCACTCTAACTTTTAAAGCTCAAATCAGTGTGGAACTAAAGTCCTCTTCATTTTGGCTTCATCCTCTATATATAAGGAGAGAAAAACCCTAGGAATTGGTGTTGAAATTCCTAGGATACCCCAACTTTGCTTGATTCTCGTGAGGATTAGGTTGTGGTACAACATGGGCATCTGAAAATGGCCCATACTGGGTGGTTGACTGAGCACCTGAAATCTGCAGCAGGGCAGCATGATCCAGCATGGGCGGCATGGTGCAGCATGGCATTTGCAGTGCTAATCCAGGTGGATTTCTCGCTCTTGGTGCAAATGGGAGACAGTTGGCTTCAAAAATATCTTCTCGTACTTTGCTCACTTTCGAAATGCCAGTCCAACTCGATATTTTCATTCTGCTCAGCGGTCTTCTAATGTCATGGCATTTCCTTTTCTCTTTTCCTTACTCACAATTTCTACACATCATTAGACAAACATCTTCCCCATAAAGCAGCACTGATGACAAAATAAAATACCGTGGCAAAACGAATTCCACCAAATGCAACTAAATGCTTCTAAATGCATCTACATGGTCCTAAATGAGCTCTTAGACATTCAATAACTTAAGTGAAAATGTCCCAAAATATGACCTTTTTACAGAGTTATCACACCCCCAAACTTAAGCTATTACTTGTCCTCAAGCAATGGATAGTATTAAGTAAAATAAAAATACCATGGCAAGTTCAGAAGCAGAATAGTTATATGGGATAAAATTTCAGCCCTCGGCACAATTGGCTTTAACATGCTAGACTAGTTCGAGAAATCAAGCACTGTCCCCTAGGGTAAGATTCTTTGTGTGGGTGTATGCGTGTTTGTATCCACTCCATGCTTAACAAACTTAAAAATTTTCTAAGAAAGCTTTCTTAATTTTCCATGACATTTACAAATTTTTACTCCCACTTTGTTTTCTTTTCTTTCATTAATTCTGCTACGAGGGGAGTCAGCCTATCACACCTACCATCCCACACTCTAGGTGAAAGGGAGCATACCTTCCACCCCCAAGATAGTCAGGTAGAGTCATCCCGTGACTATTTTCATCCATTCATATGCCATAGATTCTATATATTTATATGCAATTTCCAGGCAATGCCATGGCATAGCGGAGTGTCCCTCTACAGATATGCCGAACCATTTATTCACAACTTCATTCATTTTTTTTGGGTTTTCATCATTCAAAGTTTTATGCCACGACATTTAAGAATTCTCTTATAAAAAATTGCTAAGTTTCTCAAGCATGGAAAGCATACAATTGTGTATTTGAAGGTTTCAAAGAAGCAAGTCTTAGAGTTGGTTCTATCATCCTCAACTAGTCATGTACAATCTATCCTAGCCATCAAGAATTCTTCATCATCGAGCATCCTTAACTAATTCCAGCAAACTATTCAGACACTTATTAATGTCATGGCAAATTTATTTTACTAACACTATCATGCAATGATTGGAGAACCCTACTTCCCCCAAACTTGAGAGAAGCATTATCCTCAGCGCTTACTAAAAACTAAGGTAAAACTAGACTACATGCTATGAAATGCAATGCAATGCAATGCAAGGTACCTTGACTTCATGCTTGTGGTGGCGCAACGATTGTGCGACGGGAGCACTTCCAAAATTATGTGGGGCTAGAGTGTTCAAAATCTTATGTTGGTACGGTTGAAGGTTATATGGACCCTAAATTTTCAAAGAAAAAAATAGTCAATTAAAAGAAGTGAGATAAACATTTATTTATGCACATGAGTAATTTTAAAATATCAAGGCATCCTTAATATGTTAGGCCAGTATCAACTTCATGCAAGACAAGTGCAGTCTTGTCACGCAATGGTGGGACTCCTTGGTATGCCTTCAGGCGTTGGCCATTGAATTTAAAGACGGACCCATGTCCATGTTCTTGATATCCACAGCACCATACGGGTAAATATGGTGGATTTCAAATGGTCCTGACAATCGTAATGTGGGTATTAAATATGGGTGCGGATATGTGTGCAAGTATACACAATCAAAAGTAATAAAGTGATAAGTAGAGTATCGTCTCCACAGGGAATTAGGGAAATCAAATAGGTTTGTCAAGGCACTTTACTTTGTCACCTAAGTAAAGTTAGTGATGGTATACACAAATGATAATGATGTGGCAAAATGGAATGACTGGTGTGAAAATGGAATGATGGTAATGTGGTAGCAAATGGATATGTCGTGGTAAATCAAAATGTAATGCATGCAAACAAATGTAAATGCCAAGGCAAAATAAAAATGCAAATACTAGATTTAATATATAATACTTTAGCTTTCTCACACGAAAAGTAGCTATGGGAATGAGCGATGGGAGTCACTATAAAACCTAAGTTTATTTCTCTTAATGGTATTTCCTCTATGCTTACCCTGCCCGACAGAGTCTACTGAAGTGCCCTATGTTATCTCTAGTAAGGGACTCAACAGATTAAAGATGCCCTGGCAAGTCCAATTGGTGTAAACCCCTGCAGTGATCCTATTGGTTCAGATAACAGGATATGTCTCGACAATACCTTTTTGCGGCAACATTAACATCTAACCTATCGGTTTTGCTCTACTCCTTTTAGTCGAATGAAATCCTATCCTTATCTCTAAGGTGGATTAGGCCTAGTTACTACCTAGAACTCGTTGTTTATGTAGTTCCTCCCTAGCTTCTCTCGAAGACTAAAGATATTTTTCCAAGGTATTCTCTCGAACCCAATAAACCTCCTAAGGAAAGGCTACTCTCGTAGCTCCTACAACTTTAAGGCTTTACGTCTCATAAACAAAATAGAATAACGCATAGAAAAACAACCATTCATTAAAATAAAAACTTAAACATTCAAATGAACTCCCACCAAATAGGATTAGTTCATGGTGGGGTTCGAAATAAACAAGTTCAAGACAAGTTCCATTCGTTCCTTACAACCCAATAACAAAATATGAAAGCAAATAACTAAGGATAAGAGAGAAAGCCTTCGACATGCACTGCCCAATGCTCCTCTCGGCCACCAAGAACTGCTCACAGCGGACTGGCTCCTCTCGGACGCTCAGAACGCCACTCTCTTCTGCTAGTCAAGGAGAAATGCCATGGCAAGACGGATTGACTGAGAGAGTTGAGACCTTCTCACTCTAACTTTTTAAGCTCAAATCAGTGTGGAACTAAAGTCCTCTTCATTTTGGCTTCATCCTCTATATAAGGAGAGAAAAACCCTAGGAATTGGTGTTGAAATTCCTAGGATACCCCAACTTTTCTTGATTCTCGGGAGGATTGGGCAGTGGTCCAGCATGGGCATCTGAAAATGGCCCATACTGGGTGGTTGGCTGAGCACCTAACATCTGCAGCAGGGCAGCATGATTTAGCATAGGCGGCATGGTGCAGCATGGCATTTGCAGTACTAATCTAGGTGGATTTCTCGCTCTTGGTGCAAATGAGAGACAGATGGCTTCAAAAATATCTTCTCGTACTTTGCTCGATTTCGAAATGCCAATCCAACTCGGCATTTTCATTCTGCTCAGCGGTCTTCTAATGTCATGGAATTTCCTTTTCTCTTTTCCTTGCTCACAATTTCTGCACATCATTAGACAAACACATTCCCCATAAAGCAGCACTGATGACAAAATAAAATGTCGCGGCAAAACGATTTCCACCAAATGCAACTAAATGCTTCTAAATGCATATACATGGTCCTAAATGAGCTTTTAGACATTCAATAACTTAAGTGAAAAGGTCCCAAAATACGACCTTTTTACGGAGTTATCAGTACAGCTCTATTTTTCTTTCATGAACATTTTTGTCAGTTTCTTCACTTTCAGTTTAGAAAGATAGTCTGATTTATCAGCTTTGAATAAAACTAATATTTATGTAGCTTTCAAGGTGCGCATCTTTATTTATCAGCTTGGAATTCCCCCTTTCAAGGTGCGCCTAAGTAAGGATGGCAAACGGGCGGGTCGGGTGCGGATACCCCCTCCCCCATCCCCATACCCACCTAATATTTTTCAATCCACCACCCGCCCACCACCCATGATGGTTACAAATTTTCAAATCCACACCCGCCCACGCGGGTACATTTTCAAATCCATCCCCACACCCACTACCCACTAGCGACATACCCATCTAGACCCACCTGACAGCAAACTAATGGGATGTTAGAGCTAGTTCCCAGACAGTTCGTGATGGGGTAGCAGCGCATGCTTCAATTTGTCAGAGGAGTGGCTCTACGAATGTTATGGAGACAGATTGTAGGGAGCATGTAGTCGCAGAGCTGGATTGTTGTGTTGCTTTCGATGTTAATGCTCATAGTGCGCATAATATGCGTTTTGAGGGGCTAAAGAACATGGAAACTGCTGCTTTTGATGTTAATGCTTATAGTACGGCTAATTTGTGTTTTGATGGGCAGCATGGGCTAAAGAACATGGAAAGTGACGTGGTTAGTGGAATTATGGGTTTAATCAAAGAGCCGAATATTTCCCTAATTAAAGACTAGATTAAAGACTAAATATCCTTAATATTTGGTTAAATTATATGTTATTTATTTATAAAATATTAAAATTTATAAATTAGTCTCTAAAATTACACCTAAATTTATAATGGTTCAAAATTTAATAGATATTTAGCTGGGCGGGCGAATGCGGGGCAAGTAATGTCTCAAACCCATTACCCGCCCACCACCCACGACGGGTACTACTTTATAAATCCACACCCGCCTACTACCGCTAAAATTATACCCATCCCCGCTCCAATTGGAGCGGATGCGGTGCGGAATCCACGAAACTGTACCCGTTTGCCATCCCTACGCCTAAGTTTGGTTGATGAACATAATCGTTAACATTTATGTTTCTGAATTTGTAATGTATAATGTGTCATCTCTTAGAGTTTTACATTCAGTGATCTTGTCCTTGTTGAGAAAGGATTAAGTTGTTTAGCTATGTATCATTTAAAACCATATTGGTTAAATTTATAGCAAACTTTTTATTCATTACTGATATTCTTGTGCAGCTGTTATACAGTGCCTGAAGAGGAAGATATTATATGAACAACAAATAGAGCAGCTTGGGAACTTCCAGCTTCGTATTCATGATCGAGTGGGCTTGATTGTTTTCTTCTTTTTCAATGTTTTAACTATTCCCTTGGAGGGCTTATTATTACTATAACTATAGCATTACTTAATTGTATATATTTTGCAAATTTTTTTATTTTGCACTAGATTATAATACTAGAAGCGGTTCATCAATTTCAATATCCAGGTAATTGATATATTTTTTTAATATTTTATTTTACTGTTAAAAATAATTGAATTTTTTTTGTATAGTTTAGATGGTTTCGTCATTTTTATTTTAATCTTTAGCATTTTTACATAGTTATATTTGCTATGGTTTTAATTTTAGGGTCTTTTTGTTCTTACCCAAAGTAGTTGCATTTTTACATAATTGAATATTTTTTATAGTTGAGAAGGTTTCGTCAAACTCAAATAGAGATTATGTGATCTGCTTTCTTAGTTGTCAGAATTCTTGTGACCTCACTTCAATTTTCAGGTAAACAATATTTTAAATAAATAAAATAATTATATAATTTTAATTATGACAATTAACGTGCTAATTATATTTGTAGATTCAAATGATACCACAAACTCATCATCAACAGACTCGCAGTCAACACAAGATTTGGATTGAGATTCTCTCAAAAAGTTATTACACAAGACATATTATGGTCATATTTTTTTATTTTCTTTGAACATTTAAGTCTTTTTATATTTATAAAAAGTACATTATTATGTTTTCTAGTGAAATATTCGAATAAATTTTATTATTTTACAATAAGTAAACTATGCTATTTTTTTCTTTAGATTAATATAAGTATTTTCATTTTAATATATATTGTCATATTATGGTGACAATCTTTATTTTATCACTATATTGGAGAAAATTGTATAAGGTGACATTATGCATAATCATCATTCAAAATAGTATTACATAACATTATATTATGTCACTAAAAATTTGACAATATGTCTTTCGTAACATATAGGTTGATTTTATTGTAGTTTTCGTGACGATATAAATTATTAATAAAAATATTATATAATTTAGTGATGTAACTAACTGTCATGCAATATAAGTTATAAAATGACGTTATGCATAAGTGTCATTCATAATGCTATTAGGTAACGTTATATTACGTCACTGAAAATGTGACAATATCTCTTGCGTCACATATAGATTAATTTTAATGTATTATTCGTGACGATGTGAATTATTAATAACAAAATTTTATATAATTTAATGACATAACTAGTTGTCATTGAGTATCAATTATAAAGTGATGTTATGTATAAATGTCATTTATACTGCTAATAGGTGACCATGTATTGCGTCACTAATATTGTGATAATTTTTTCTTTCATCACGTATACAAAGAAATTATTGAGTTATTAATGACGATATGGTTTATCAATGACGAAAATGTACATTATTTGGTGACATAATTAATTGTCATTGAATGCAAATTATAATGTGACATTATCCATTAACGTCAATACATGTTTAATAATACGTGACGAAATCTTATACATCATCACATTTGACATTTAGTGACACACATAGGGTGACGTTCGCCGTGACGTCAATTTTTATGTCACAAAATACAAATAGTCACATAAATATATGTTTCAGTGACAATATTTAAGATGCCACAAATAATCAAATTTATTGTAGTGTGACTGTGGAACGGTCGAGAAAGGTTGAAACGTATGAGCAAACGTCTGCCCTCCAGATTGTTGTTTGACCGAATTTGTTCGAGCAAATTGTTTTTGGACATCACCAGTTTGCTCCTCACCTCCAGCTATACCCGTAAAGTCTCGATCGAAGCGATGATAGCATTTTTGCACCACATGACCAAACTTGCCACACAACTGACATTGAGGTCTGTTTGAACTCCGTCCTCGGCCTCGACCACGATAACCACCACCTTGTTGATCCCGATTTTAGTATGAACACAGTTGTGATGTATTCTTCTCTTTAGCATCTACTTCAATGTTATTTACCTCCTTAGGTAAACAGGTCAAATTGGCCATAGCACCTTCATTCAGGAACACTTTCTGTCGAACCTCATAATCCATTAACATGTCAGTCAGAATGTCTAAAGAGAGACTCTCACGAGATGCAATAGCAATGATTGACTCAAATTCCATCGAAAGACCAGCAAGAACAACGCTTACATGCTCCTGTTCAGTAACAACACTAACAGATGCATTGAGTAAATCACAAATAGATTTAATCTTTGCAAGATACTCACTAACAGACAACCCAGACTTTCTTTGAGTATGTAGACTATGCCTAAGGGCTGAGATCTTGGCAGTAGACCGAGCACTGAACAACCGAGAAATGGTAGACCATATGGAGAAGGTTGTTGTGAGGTCAGTGAGATAAGGAAAAACCTCAGTCCCAATCGTGGTGAGCAACCAAGAGGCTAGAATTTATCTTGCTGCCTATGAATCAGGAAAGTCGGATTAACCTCAGACTGACCAGACACACTTGCAACGTTTTCATCTGGTAAAACTGCATCACTGGAAAGAAAATTTGTTAACCCATAGCCATCAACTATCAACGCAACTTGGTGTTTCCAAAGATGATAGGTGCTCTCGGTAAGCTTGACAGTGTTATGCTTAGGGATATGCTGAATCCCATTAATTCCTAACGGAACTGTCATGGAGCTCACGGGACAGGTATTTGGTGACACATTTTCAGAGCCTCAAACCGGATCTGCAGTTAGATCAACCATGATGAGCAAGATGAATCAAGAAACGGTTTAACAGCGGAAGAAACCACCAGGATTGGCGAATGATACCATGTCAAGAGTAAAGAAGCTACAGCCCAAGAGTAAAGAACAAGATAAGAGAGAATAGGCTCTCTAAACCTTTAACAAAAGAATCATACATCTGCTGTTACAACAGAGCTTATTTATAGCTCTATGAACATACTTAACCAACTATAACAGAAGCTTAACAGTTTCATAACTGAAGCTTAACAACCTAAACACTAACTAACTCATGCTAGCTAACTCAAAACCGAATGGGAATCGATTACAAACACAGTGTGTGCCATCACGTTTAACAAACAATGAAGCATCTGTTGTGTGACAACAAAACAAACATTAAGAATAAATGGACGAAGCTTAGCATACCAGTTACGAGGGGCTTGCTTCAACTCATAGAGCGCTTTTTCCAATTTACACACTAAAGGTGAACCATCATCCAATTGTTTCTCAAAACCAAGTGGTTAAATCATAAACACCTCCTCCGCCAATTCATCATTTAGAAAGGAATTATTGACATCCACCTGTCTAAGCATCCAATTATTCTGCACTGCCATCGACAAAACAACATTGACAGTGGAAAATTTCACTATGGGGCTAAACGTGTTACGAAAATCATGACCAGGAACTTGAGAAAAACCTTTCGCTACAAGTCGAGCTTAATGATGAGCAACCAAGCCGTCACGATTACGTTTCACACGAAATAGTCATTTCCAACCAATGGTCGTTCGCTACAGGTGGCGTGCTGGTTTGATGATTTAGTGTGGTGTCCTTATAAAAGTTGAGAGTAATCCGCTGGTTGGAGGCTATTTGCATCAAGTGTTTAGTGTATTAGGATCGAAAGTTTGGAAATTGTTTTCTGTTATGTGGTAAGTGGATTATGGTAGTGTGTTTTGTGATAGCCCTTGAGATGTATTTTGGTTCCCTGTGTAGAGTGTTCTTTTCGATTTATTTGGTCATTAAATAGATGCACTCTTTTTCTTTTATTTAGGATTAGGGAGATTTTTCAACAGACTCTATTCGATGTTTTTGTATGATGATCGTTTTAATCATACAAAACCCTTTTCAAAAAAAAAAAAGTTTCCACGTCCTATTCTTTAAAAGAGCATCATATTCATCAAACACAGCATGTTTCCATTGAGGTGAAGCAAGAGCCTGCTTAATATTTACTGGTTCAACTTCCGTAGAACATACCTCCATCGCATGAAACACTCAAGGTTTAAAAACACTAAGTTTGCTTCAGGTAACCATAGGATGATTGTTAATTGCCCCTGGAGCAGAAGCTAACACTTGCTCAACAGATTGAACACCAGAAGATCCCTCAACATGAACCTGTTTATTCAAACAAAGCAACATCACTACTTTGTTGTATAGAACCATGTGCAAGCGGTTGCATGGCTGACACACTTCCACCAACATTAACACGAGGACACGATTCCCTCATTCGAAACTGCCCAGATCACCCAAGAGCAACATCTTTAATCAAACTATCATCCTGTTGCTCGGGTGCAGAAATAACGTCCACAGGCACACCACCCAACGTATCATTTATGCATGGCTCATTAGAACGCAAAGTATCAAGCACTTCAATCGAATCATGTGAACCACACTGCTGTTCAGGAGCACTAACCACTGTCCCAGGCAAAGCATTTAATGCATTTGTGCATGGTTCTTGAGTACGTAATGTGCCATGCAATTTCCCTGGCACTTCCAAAACATTTCCACGATCCATGTCCTCCTCTGGAACATGAGTGGATTCAAGAATAGAGTTTGAATCATGCGAACCTCGACAATCACGTAACGAGCACATCAATGGAACAACACCTGGAACAACAAAAATTTCCTCACCAGGGCAAGCAACCTCCTTAGGAACAAAACTATCATCACAATCCAAAGCAAACGGGAACACCTATTCATCAAAGACCACTTGGCGAGACAAGTACACCTTCCCATCTTTTGCTAAGCAAAAGTACCCTTTGTGTTGAGAACTATAGCCAAGAAATGTGCAAGGGAGCGAACGAAACGAAAACTTATGTTGAAAGGTCGTAAACATGGAAAGCACCTACAACCAAACACCCGCAAATGATCATACTTGGGAGTTTCACCAAACAATTTCTCATAGGGAGACGCACCATGTAGCACCTTAGTAGGTAACCGATTAATGACATGAACCGCCGTCACAACAGCATAAGACCAAAACCTCAAAAGTTAACGAAACTTGAGCCAACAAAGTTAAAGCCATATCAATAACATGCTGATGTTTTCGTTCAACAACACTATTTTGTTGAGACGTATGAGGACAAGTGACACGATGAAGAACGTCACTATCTTGAAGTACTTTAGATAAAGACCTATACTCGCCACCCCATCACTTTGAACCGTTTTAATAGACACAATAAACTGAACATGAACCCTCCGTTGAAATTGAAGAAATGCTTGCAATGCCTGAGATTTCGCACGAAATAAATACACCCAGGTATGACGAGAGAAAGCATCCACAAACGACACATAATATTTGAACCCATTGGAGGAAACATGCGGAGGTACCCAAAGATCCGTAAAAACTAATTGAAACGGCATAGTATATTGAGTTTGTGAATCAACAAATGGTAAACGATGATTCTTCCCCATTTGACAAGCAACACACAAAATTTTATTTAATTCTTCTCGAAGAGAAACATTACACGCCTTGCTCACTTTCATCAACACATCATGAGAAGGGTGTCCTAAACGTCTATGCATTAAATCGTACTCCATACTCGAAGCACAAGCAAAACTAGATTGAAATTTACCACCATTGAAACAAGCCACACTCCCATCAAATTCATACAAGCCACCATCTTCACGACCTTCAAGCAATACTACACCAGAGACTTCATTAAGAACCACATACTTTCGAGCATGGAACTCCAAAAAATACATCATTGTCTCTAGTAAGTTTGGAAACCGAAAGGAGATTCTTAGTTATTGTGGGAACATGAAGTAACTAATTTAAGCAGTACGCGAGGAAGTAGCTAAAGAAGAACGACCAACATTATTAATGAGCAAATCTTTCCCATCATCCACAAGAAGCTTACCGGCCCCTTTAAACGTAGTACCATCTTCAAGAACTGTAGCATCGACTGTAATGTGATGTGTTGCACCGGAGTCGACACACCACGACATTGACGATTGTCCTCCACGATGCACCAGACCAGAACCCTTTTCACCAAGAAGAGCAGTAGCCGTAGGTTCATTTTTACCAGAGCATGAACACCCACTATCACGAACAGCAGAATTATAATTGCAAAGATTAACCGAAGGCTCCCTTACACCCGAAGCATCAGCATCAACCCCTGGAAACGATTGGTCAAACCGATACCAGCACCAATCAACAAGATGGCCCATCTTGCCACAGAGCTGGCATTGAAAGCGGGTGCGACCACGACCCCTTCCCCCCAGCCGAAACTGATGAAAAAGCACGACCCCGACCATACTGTTAGCCACAACCAGCCTGCTGCTGAACCCCATGAACCATCTGATCTGAAGCACCACGAGAAGAATCATTAGCCGAGTCCATTGTTGTCATCTTGGCCATATTAGCGCTGAGATGGAACCCATCAATTTGATCGAATGTTTGCTGCTGAATTTCAGTATCAATCAAACATAGCAGCAACATGGTCAAGAGAAAACGCCTCATTGCTGGTGGTAATAACCACCACAAACGGCTGATACTCCGGCAGTAACACATTGAGAATCGTTACAAATTGTTCATAGTCCGTCACTGGAGCTCCACACGCAGCAAGTGCATCGCAAACGTCCTTCACTTGCGTAAGATAAGAACGCATATTAAGATCGCCCTTCCTTAACATATGGGAGAAAGAAAAGCCGAACGGTCTTCAACTATTTCACGACGGAGCATCCTCTGACAAAATGGATCCCAGATCGGGGACGAGGAGGTCGGGAAGGGTCTCCATGTAAAATTTGATGGCAAACGGATCATGTACTTTTAGGCATATTTTACATTTTGGTCATATGTAGTAACCGTTTAATTTTTTTTAAATACTTAGAGACTGATTTAGTGATTTTCTATTTTTATTTCTAAGCACTAACTTTCTGGGTTTTTTCTAAAGATCCTTCTACTTTATGTATGTTTTTCCATTTCGGATACTAGTCCTCTGTTTATTTTATTTCTTTAATTTTGAGTTATAATTTGTGTTTATTTCAATTTAGTCATTTTTATTATTGTAGTTTATTCGAATTTAATCACTGATTTTTATTTTTATTCACTTTACCCACTATTTGGATTTTGTTTATTATTCTATCATAATTTGGATATGATATCTTCGATTTATGCATTATAATCACTAATTGATTATGATTTGGCTATTGTTTTCAGTCTTATTTCATTTTAGTCCTTTTCTGCTTAGTATTTTATCTTTATGATTATTTTAATTCGAATGCTTTATTTTAATGATTTCCATTTTAGTCCTGAATGATTGAAGATGGTTTATTTACGATTGTAGTGCTCATATTGTAAAATATTCACAATGGTTGTCGTTATTTATTGTTGAATGTGTAGTTTAATCCCTAAAGTCACCATCTTTATTATTTTGATCCATCATTTACACATTTGTTAATTTTTGCTAGTTGTAATATTTTCAAATATTATTTTACTCGAGAAATTTATAGAAACGGTCCTTAATTGACAAGGAGTGTGTTTCCAAGAATTGTTCGAACAAGATAATGCATTTTATACTCGAATGAATTTGTTTTTTAATGTAATTAATGTATGTATTTTATCTAAAAATTTGGACAATATTTTTTTGTATGATGAATCCATGGAAATGTCCCCTTAACTGAAAATGAATGTATTTTCGAGAATTGTTCGTGAAAAATAATACCCCTTATATTTTTCTAAAAATGATCATAATTTAAATCTTATTCGAATTTGCCAATTTCAATATTTAGATGATGTATAATCTTTTAGGTACTGATTTCGGGCGTTGTGAGGGTGCTAATCCTTCCCTACGCGTAATCGACTCTCGAATCCTTTTCCAAAATGATTTTTGGTTAAACGCATATCATTTTTTATCTTTTAAAATTATTTTTCTTAAAATTATTTTAAAAGGTGTTTTTAGGTATTCGACCTACCTAACCCAAAGGTCGATAGTGACTCCAAATCTATTTATTTTTTTTTATTTTAAAACCCAACCTTTTCCAAGATTAAGTTGGATCGATCCCCGCTCATAGCCCTAAAAAGCTTAAGGACTATTCCGACAATCCTATTCTTCCAATAGGCATAATTTGCAACATTGAAATAGGGTGGCTTGTTGACCGATTGAGAATCTTCAATATAGTAAGAGTCGTAGCTCGAAGCCATCTTGTAATACCCCAAATAGTAGGTCAGAGACTAATTTGAAAGGAATTAAAAATTTGGAGGACTAAATTGAATAAAAGGGTAAAGTATAAGAAATGACTTAAGTAAGACCAATGTGTAAGAGATAGAATAATGAAAGGGCATTTTGGTCCTTTTAAGTGAAATGAATTTTAAAACCCAATTAAATTCTAGGGATTTAAATAAAACGGGGAAAGTAAGCTAAAGAATCTATTTTCTTCTTCTTCTTTCTTCCCCGTGGGTTTGCTATCCTCCATAGCTCTAAAGGTAAAGTTTAATTATTTGATTTTTTCCTTTCGATTATGGGTAGTTCTTGTAACCTTAAGTGATATAGAAGCTTAAGGAAGGATTAAATGAGGTTAAAACTATGAAATGAAGGAAATATGGTAGATTTTAGAAAATGGGTTTGGAAATGATATGTTAGTATATTGGTTTTTATTGATGGTTATTGGTAGATTTGACTTGTTAAAGAGGTAAATGAGAGAATATAAGCATTAGATAGTATTAAGAACATATTAGAAAAAGTGGTTTGATTCTTAGAATTAAATGTTCTTAAAAGATTTTAGAGGTTTTAAGAGGCTAAATGAAATAAAGTTAGTAAGGATAAGTAGAGAAGAGTTAAATGGCATTGTTGGGTGTAAATATAAAGGAATTTGACCCCATTTGGCTAAAAATCGGGTTAAAACTGGAAAATCTAGGCAAGGGTATCGGTACTGATAGAACATTATCGATACTATAGGCTAAAATGAGATGAATTAACTGAGTAGTATCGGTACTGATTCAATCAGTATCGATACCATGATAAAGGTATCGATACCAAGCAACATCGAATCAAAAACTGGTATCGATACCGTAAGAGGGTATCGGTACCATAGTATGGTAGTATCGATACCATAGCAAGAGTATCGATACTAGGCAACATCGAACCTAAAATTAGTACCGATACCAGAAGGGGGTATCGATACCATAGTATAGAAGTATTGGTACTAAGGTAGTAGTATCGATACTATAAAGCCATAAATGTTAAAAATAGGCTGATATTGTTATAGAAAGTTAATGATATGTCCTTTTGAGTATTGTTTAATTTAATGGTTAGAGAAAAATACTAACTTGAGGTTTGGTGCCTGTTTTAATGGAAGCTTGATTAGATCGAAATGAAGCTCCCGAGACAAATAAAACTAAGGGCAAAGGCAAAGTACCAGAGTAATCAGCCTTACGTTTTGGATACATAGCAAGGAAAGTCAGGTGAGTACATTTAATTATGTACGTTTATGTTACGGTAAGCCTAGTTGTATGATTTATTAATGTAAGTATGGTGATTACCAAATGGCACTAGGTGTGCAAAAAATTAAGAAATTAATACTAAATGTATGAATTTCTATATGGGCACTTTGTGTGCAAAAATGAGAAATTCATACTAAGTGTAGGAATTTCAGTATGGGCACCATAGGTGCGAACTGAGAAATTCATACTGAGTGTATGAATTTTCGTATGAGAAATAGATGTGGAATGGTCAAAAGTTCCTAATAGAAAGGTAAATTGTTGTAGTTGTAGTGGATGAGTAATCCATGTAAATTATAGAAAAAATTGTGGTATTATTGCAACGGCATTATGGGTATAATTCATAGATTGTATAATAATGGAAAGGGTAAATTTGTATTAGGAATGATTATTATAGTAGAGTCTGCTCTAAAATAAATGATTATAGGCCTAACTGTGCAAATGACAGAAATGTGTCATTTATGCCAGTTAGATGAAAGGTTAAGTACCTTTGAGGCCTAACTGTACAAATGACAGAAAGGTGTCATTTATACCAGATAGATGAAAGGCTAAGTGTCTTTGAGGCCTAACTGTGCAATTGGCAGAAAGGTGTCAATTATGCCAGTTAGATGAACGGTTAAATACTGTTGAGTAAAAGAATAATGGCTTAACTGTGCAATTGGCAGAAATATGTCAATTATGCCAGTTAGATGAACGGTTAAATACCGTTGAGTAAAAGAATAATGACCTAATTATGCAATTG